CTTGAGGGCGACATTTGGGGGATCCCTGAGCTAGCCTTGGGGCTCAGGAATCGCTGAAGGTCGGGGCTCCGGGGGTGTTGAGTGTTCGGGGTGTTGAAGGTCCTGACGGATGCTGAAGGCTCTGGGGGATTTGTGGAACTTGGGCAATCTCGAGGGTTAGAGAGGGCTGGAGGGGACCTTTGGGGGCTGGGGGGCACAGGTGGAGGCCTTGAAGATTGAGGTCTGGAGGTAGCATTTGTATTCGGGGGGGTCTTGGGGGCATGGGGGTTCTCGAGGGCTGGGGTGTGATGGAGAGGGCTCAGAGGTCAAAGGAGGGGGAGGCCTAAGAGAGGATTACTTTGAGTTGGGAAGATTGGGGGTCCCTGAGGGTGGGAATGGTGGATGCTCAGGGAAGGGGTCTCAAGTTTTAGAAGGAGCATCAGGGAGCTGCCACTGAGCTTTGAGGGGGGTGAGTTGCGGTGGGGGGAATTTTGGGGGGCTTGATATTTTGGGGACTGGGACGTCTATGCCCCGGGGGTGAGGGCAGGCATAGAGGACTGGGGCTTGTCCCAGGAGATTGGGACTGGGGGGATACCCCAGGGACAGTGTCCATGTCCTCTTACCCCACTGTCCCCTGCCCCACAGACCTGTGCAAGAACTGCCACCACCTGATCGCACGCCATGAATACACCTTCAGTGTGGTGGATGACTACCAGGTTTGTCTCTTGTCCCCCAAAAGCCCTTCCTGACTCTGCCTCTGGAATTCCAGACCCACCCTTCCACAGGCTGATCCCCACCTTCCCCGAGGCAGAGTCTTGAAGGACTCAGAACTGTATCCCTGTGTTCAGGGCTACCAGGAGTCCCCCCAGCACTAGTCCATGCCTTACTGGGGAAGCCCAACTCACCTGGCGTGGGAATGTGGGTGATGGGATGGGGCTGTGACCCCCATTCCTCATTCCTGGCACATCTCCTATTCAGCAAACGGCCGGAAAAAGGACTCAGGGGAGCCACTGGGGCTGGAAACGAGATCCCCTGGCTCTGATTGCAATCAGGGATCGGGTACCGGATCTGGCTCGAGTTTCCCTGTGGGGGAGCAGGGCTGTGGCAGCCCCCCTTTTTCCAGCCCTCCCCCTTTTCCTTCCCCCAGGAATATACCATGCTGTGCCTGCTCTGCGGCCGCGCTGAGGATTCTGTCAGTATCTTGCCTGACGACCCTCGCCAGATGACCCCGCTGTTCTGATCCCCGTGTATACCTCGGGATGAGCTTCCAGGAGCTCTGGGAGATCCCTGGCACTGTAATTTCTGGGGACCACACAGTCCCTGGCATGCTTTGCTCCTCCAAACTTCCAGCCTGGATGCAGCGAACACCCAACACTGGATGCTCCCATGTTTCTGGAGCCTTTTGTTTCCGACCCCGAATGCAACGATGGGATGCAGTGCCACGGCCCAAGCCCCACCATGTGCCGAAGACCTAAAGGAGTCCCCAAAATAGGACCCAAAGGGATTCCCACCCCCTCCCACCTCAGGAGCCCGCGTATGTGGAGTAATAAATGTGACGTGTGACAGTTCAGTGGCACAGGCAGGAGTATTTTTGGGGTGGGCTTCACCCCCTGGAGTTGGTGAAGGGTGCTGGGGGCTGATTCAGGGAACTTCTTCCATCCCAGGAGACTGTGGAATTCCTCCTTGGCCCTTCCCAGCACTGGAGAGCCCACTGCACTCTCCCAGTATTCTCCTAAACCCTGCAGAGGAAGGACTTGGATAATTTTCCCTTCCCAAGGAGTTGGTTTCATTTCCCCCTGCCCTGGGGTTTGTAAACTGGCCCTGCCCTGCTGGGAATTCCATATTCCTGAGGCAGGAAGGAACTGGGAAATCACTGCCCTGGGGTGGGTGAAATGCTGCTCTTGGCACCCGGCCAAGCAACACCTACAGGGAACTGTGTGCAGCCGGCCTGGCACCCACCTATCCCTGAGCCTCCATTTCCTGGATTTGGCACCTCAGGGCTGCATCCTTCTTCCTGCTTTCCCTGAAAGCCCCCAAAACCCACATGGGCATGGGTATGTTCCCAAAAATGTCATGGATCCATTTACACTCCCAAAAACCACGTGGATCCAGGCACGCTCCCTCCGGCTCATTTATTGCCACCAGCCCACGCCGCCCCGGCGGCTCCAACCCTCTGCCCCCATCAAGCCCCGTCCCCATGGAGGTTTCGGAGGGGGCTGTCACTCTGCGGAGAGCTGGGGCCATCCCGGGGTGACGCCTGAGCCAGGGTCACACCAGAGCCAGGATCACACTGGAGCTAGGATTACTTGGCCAGCTTGAGGAGACGCTGGATGTCGGGCTCCAGCTGGGCCGTGGGCACACGGGGGCTGTAGCGCCGGAACGGTTCCCCCTCAGGCCCCACCAGGAACTTCTCAAAATTCCAGGAGATATCGGAGCGCCGCACAGGGCTCCAGGTGACAAAGCGGGGCTCAGCCATCAGGTGTGCGGCCTCGTCAGCCGGTGCAGGCAGGTGAGCCTTGAGGTAGGCGAACACGGGATGGGTGTCGTTCCCGTTCACCTGGCACTTCTGGAACAGGGTGAAGTTGGGCTCAAAGCCGCCCCCCGGCCGCACGTGCTTCAGGGTGTTGAGGATCTCCTCGTTGGTGCCATTCTCCTGTGGTGGGGAAGGAGAAATCCAGAGCCCTGTGTTTCCCAGCTCCTCACCCCCTGCCTTGTAGCCCATAGGACTTACCTGGTATCCAAACTGGTTACAGGGGAAGCCCAGCACGACCAGCCGCCGGGGGTAGCGGGCTTGGAGCTGGTTGAGCTGGGTGTAATCCCGCACCGTGGTGCCTCAGAGCGAAGCCACGTTCTCGATCAGGACCACGCGGCCCCGGAAAACACCAAAATCCACTTTTTCCCCCTGCAAGGAGGTGGCGCTCAGGTCATAGAAGGACTTGGCGATGGGGACGGTCATGGCTGCAGGTGTGCGGCTGTTTGTGCCCCGTGCCCTGCACCGCCTCTTAAGGGCTTCCCGGTGCTCACGTCATGGTCCAAAGGTCTCCAGGCCCCGCCGTGGCTCAGGAGAAACCAGAGCCGCCTGTCCCACCCGTGGAAGGAGGAAGGTGGCATGGGGCCAAGGCAATGCTCTACCTGCCTCAATAATTCATAGCACGGCGCGGTGCGGCTGCTCATCCTAGTGCCTACGGGATGTGGGATGCTCCCAGCCTGGCACAGCATGTTCCCGGGGGTTGGGAATGACAGTGAGAGTTGGGGAATAACGGCAGTCAGGGAGTAATGGGAATCTGGGAGCTGGGGCTCTGTGAGGCACAGGAGGAGGGGACAAGTGCCCCCAGTACTCCTCATTGCCTGGTGCTGCCATGGCATCACCTCTGGGACCTCCAGTGCTGCCCATCCCAGTGCCCACCAGTCTCAGGGCACACTGGTCCCAGCACCAGCTCCACCCGTGGCCCTATCTGCTGTGGTGCCCCTCCCAGCGCCTGGCAGCATCCTGGTGTCCACCTAGATCCAGTAGGTTCCACTGTCTTAGTGCCCACCATCATCCCAGTAACCACTCATGCCAGCCTGCCACCATCCCTCTGCTGGTTCATCCCAGTGCCTCCACCAAGCTTTCCAGCCCTGTTCTCACAGCTGGGGCTGAGCTGGTAGCCTGGCAGGCCATGGTGGTGGCCATGGCACCCCACGGGCACCATGCCCCATGTCCCTGTGCCCAGCCTGGAAAGGGGACACCATGCTGGCAGCCCCAGATCACCCTCAATTATTGATCACCACTCGGGTGTCCATGCCCAGGCTGTGCCTGCTGCCATGGCATCACGCCCACAGCCCCCCTGGAGCACACGGACCACCAGCCCCTCCAGCATCACCTTTATTCTGCAAACCACTGTGTAAAACCGGGGGTCCCACGGGGTGGCCCAGGGTGGGCACACAGCGCCTGGACAGCCCTCACCCCACCCACAAACTGAGGGGGGCACAGGTGCCAGGATGGGGGGGCCCCCCTTGCCACCTTCCCATCTCCCCCCCGTTCCTGAGGGTGTCCCGTGTTGCCCCCCACTCCATGGGGGCTGCCCCAATCCTGCCCCTACCAAGCCCCCTGACACAGCCTGGGGAGGAGGGGTCAGGGATGTCCCAGCCTTCAACACCAGCAGGTTTTGGGGGTGTCCTCGCTCCCCAGGGGCTGCTGCTCATCCTCCTCCAGCCGGGCCAGGGTGGGGGCACGGGGTGGCCCCCGCAGCTCATCCAGCTCCTTGCGGTGTGCCTGCAGCACCAGCTCCGTCAGCCGCGTGAAGGACTGTGGGAGAGGGGTGGGGTGAACCTGGGAGACCCCTCCAGTACCCCCTGACCTCTCCAGGTGGCCCAGGCCACCCCCAGTTCCCTCAGAGACCCACCCCCTGGCCCTCTTCCCCTCCCCACACCTCCTTCGTGCTCCTCTGCAGCCCTAAAGCACCCAATTCCCCCCAGTATCCCTCCCAGTGACCTCTGGACCCCAAAGCAGCCAGCGCCCCTCCCAGAGCCCCCTGCACCCAACCCCAGGTGTGCCCCTATGCCAGTCCCCCCCACCCCGCAGCTCTCCTGTCTGTCCGTGCCCGGCTGTGCACGGTCCAGAGAGGGGGACAGAGGTATTGAATCCCCCCTCCCCCCAA